TGTATAAGGAATCAATGACGCAGGCCAATGAGATAAGCACTGTCCTGTGGTTGGGGAAGAGCTCTAAGGAGGAAGTTGGGTGAAAACTGAGGGATCAAGCAGGAAAGTCTTTCTGGACACTCCAGCATCTTAGCTGGATCTGAAAGCACAAGAATTTAGAGTCAGGAGTGCTGTAGTGCAGATTCCAGATGAGAGGAGCCACTGCAATAGGAAGTCAGAGAGAGGCAAAAGCCAGCTTAACTATCAGTGAGGAAACTAAGCTTCACCAGAGCGGAGGGTGAATTTACTTACCCCAGATTAACTGGGTTGGGAGGGCTGGGAGGTTTCTGGACACATGCTGCTACGTTCCTGTCCTCAAGTCATTTCTAAACACTAAATTCAAACTCTGAAATCAGCTCTGATCTTTTCTCCTGGAATAGTGGAAAAGACACCCAAAAAATTCTTACAGGAAGAATCTGCTGGAATAGGTCACCAAAATCAACTTGCTTCTTATCTTCACTTTCCATTTCAGTGGGGTACTAATAAGGTGGTCCCTCAGGTACAATGGCATACTAATGAGGTGGTCACTCCAAGAGAGGGTGCATGATAAAACACATCCATCCTTCAATTTCTGTTTCTATCAGCAGCCTGGGCCATGGTAAGTAATACAACCTCCATGAAAGACTGTGCACTTGCTAAGTAAACATAACTTCATAATAGCCTGCTTCAGCATGCTCTGCCAATCAGACTTACTCCCATCCACACACCACAACATGTTCTTAAATAGTACCTGTGCAATCAGCCTCTAAACTTCTGAGCTGTCAGAGAAACCACTAAAAACAGATGTATTTGATATAGATTTTAACCTAGAAGGTTTCTTCCATTACCAAGTAAGAAATTGTTAATACCAGAGTAAGTGACAAGTTTACATTGTTCATTAAAAGAGGAAAAATTATTTTCATTTTTTCTGAAATCTCCGATAAAGAAGACAAGTTTGCTAACCAAAGTTGGTACAGTTGCTTTACTTCATAATTGTTTTGTTGTGTCTGTATGTATGGGTGCACATGCACACACACATGAACCTGGGCTTGCACATTATCATTTAGATTTTTCACTCGGGACTAATGAGTGCTCTGCCACTTGAGCAACAGCTCCTCTTCCTGCATTTTTGCTGCATAACTTGAGAAAAGTGTCTCATGGACATTCCTGTCCCAGATGGCTTCACTTCAAACCTTCAAACACATCAAACCTTCAACATTCAGCCTCTCAAGTAGCTAGGATTACAGGCATGAGCTACAAGCACCAGTCCGTGTTAACTGCACTTTAGACTTAACACTGGAAAACAACAGAGCACACCTCAAAACCAGGGACAGCCCCACAGCAGTGACAAGCTCCACTGATCTTTCCTGAGCCAAATACTTACTGCCCTCAGTAGTACCAAACTTTGTTAGAAAAGCTTATTTCCTTTATCCAACAGCTGTAACTTTTAAGAGTTTTCACACAAGAACTCAAGATTCTCAAGCCAAATCTATAACCAAAATACACAGATGAAACACTTTCAGTCTTCACCATCTTGTTTGTAAACATGGTATTTGTTCTAAGAACCACAGTACAAACTAAAAGCAGCCTTTTAAACAAAAGTAGCTCAAATAAAACCACACACAGACACTCATTCTTAACACCAGAACTATTCAAAGAAAGCCAGGATTCAAATTCCACCAAAGGATGTGATCTACCACGCCCCTTCACTGTGACACTTCCCACTAATTTACACTTTTGAAACCTCACAGAAACTGCTGGTGGTAACAAGATGTTACGAATATTAGACAAATGTTCCTCCCTCCTATCAGCTAGACTGGAACAACTGATCCTGTTGATAGAATAACTGCCTCACTTGAGAGGACTATTCTGATGCCAATGGCGGCCTGGTAAAAGCCTTAGTATTATCCCAGTCTCCTGTCATACACCTTCGTGTAATAAGTTAAAACCAAATAAAATAATAATAATAGTAATAATAAGTGTATGTGGGTGGGTGTATTCCAAAAGTAAATAACTATTAACTTATTTCAAGCACCTGCAAGACCTTTGAGTATTGGCTTATGACAAGAGTGAAAACACTTGGCAGAAAACCTGTAAGGGGGGAGAATATTAAAAAAATAACTATCAGAGAAAAGAATATAGACCTTGGGCATTCGTTCAGTTCTATACTTAGCACCTATTAAATAATTAAAGTCCCTCCAAATGGACAAACACTACTCTAAATGCTGCAAAACAGAAAACACAAAATAAAGACTCTGCCCTCAAAGAGTTTATAATCTAGTAGGGAATACAAGTGAACATTTTTCCCTTGATTATCAGTTCTAGGACAAAAATTAAAAAGTAAGAGACAATTTCTGGCCTTACTTCCTCATAGGGACACAGTCACCTACTTACGATGATGAGGTCAGTCACCTGGTACACAGCATTTCCCAAGCATTTGAAAGTATATGCACATGAATGTATATGCAATACACAGACAGACACATGCACACACTCCCTATGTGAAATAAAATGCAAGGAAAGAAACTCTTTGTAATTACACCTAATGTAATCAAGCTACAAATTCATCAAGACTCTCCAAGTCCCCAAACCCCCCAAAATTTGAAGACTAAAATATATTTAGAAGTCAGAGAGTGGCATAACAGTAGTAGCAATATAAAGTCTGAGCCAGTAGCGTCAATAGTAATACGACTGTCTGGCCCACTTTGACAAGAACCAAGCTATATTGTGATACAAGGGACCCTCAGAAATAATAGCACAATGTTACAATGTCAGAAAGCTCAGAACTCTCTGTTTAAGCCTTCATCCCCCGATTACTTTGGGGAGAATAGGAAGACAATGAGGCACAACATTTTATACCTACCATCAACTTTAGCTCTCTATGCCCCCCTCCCCATGCTACCAACGAGCCAGAGGTCCCAAAGGTAGAACAGGTTAACCTCGGAGCAGTATAGCTAGTAATTACAGAGCCAGAGTAGGACCAAGGCTCCTCCTAGTCCTGGTCATGTGTGTTTTACTTATAAGGAGTAGATCGTTCAGATGTTATGAAACCCACAAGGGATAGCAGTAACTTCCAAAAATTCAGGTATAGATTCTCCCCCTTCTGCCACCACTTCCAAGTAAAAGCACATAGGGCAAATTGGGACTCTTTGCTGGTGTCCAGGGAGCTCACTTTATGCAGTCTACTGCGAGTGTCATTTTAAGAAAGCAGAAAGCAGACTACAACACTACTAGGTTACGGGGGGGGGGAGGGGTTGGGGAGGAGGATGGACAGAGCCTGAAAGCGGAAAAGAAGCTGTTTTGAATTGTAACTTTCGGGAGTTTGCCTCAGGAAAAAAAAAAAAAAAAGCTCCGCTTTGGAAAGGGAGGTGGAGAGATGAGGTATTGGCAAAGTGAGAGTGAGAATGATCCAAGAACAGGGTCCAAGCTATTTACAAGAGAATGGGGAGCAGGGGGCTGGGGCTGGGACAGGGGTGAGGTGGGGAGAGCAGCTGGGCCGAGGGCGAACGTTTGACCACACCTACCGGCCACGCCCTCCCAGCTGCCCGCAGAGCCACGACGAATCGAAACAGCAGTGAGAACAGTTAAGATTCCGGAGGCAGCAGTCGCCATGGCAACCGGATTTGTCTTGCAGGCAAACTCGGCTTTCCATTCACTGGGTCGTGCTCAATCTCCAGGCACTACCAGTTCAATGAGAGCAAAACGGTCACGGGTGGCATTTGCTCTCCGTGGTCTCTCTGAGGTTGCCGTGGGGGAGGGGAAACGGAGCCCCGGAATCCACTCCTAAGCGCGCTAAACCACTTCGCGGGGAGGGGGTCGGGGTGGGGGGAGGGGGGAGGAGAGGAAGGAGGGTGGGTGTGCGGAACAGAACACCCCCCCCCAAACCCAAGCTGTGAGCAACTTGAGACCTTAACAGGGGTGGGTGAATGAGTGAGTAAACGAACGAAGGAAGGTCCTAGGAAAAAAAAAAAGAAAAGAAATAAAAATCTTGGGGACTTAAAAAGAGAGTGGTCAGCCCGGCCTCGCGCACGTCTCCAGGCAGAGGGCTAGCCGATCGCGCACAGTAGCAGGCTTTTGGCACCAGCTGGGTCAACCCGATTATCCAGCCCTCCTGGCCCCACAGCGAACCTTATCATTAGATTATCCGACATGCCCACCCCACCCCACCCCCCTCTTTAGGGGCAACCAACCGGGCGGGTGCTTCGCCCAGCCCCTTTGGCGAGCGAGTCCCGGCTTACAGGAACGACGGCGATGCGTCCGGAGAAGGACGCGGGCAGGAGCGCAGCCTCCCCCGGCCGCTGCCCGCCCGTCTACCTCGCTCCCTCCGCCAGGCCCGAGGTTCCCCCTTCCCTCGAGAAACCTTACGCTCAGGCTCTGCCTGAATTACTGCCACTCCCTCCCTTCCGAGTGGGGCGTGCAGCGAGGGTGTCAGGGATGGCGGGGCTCCGCTCCACCGGGGACACCGCGTCCCTCCTTCCCCGTCGCTGCCTCCGGGTCCTGCCTCTCGGCACCACCGGTCCAGGAGGAGCTCCCGACCGCAAGTGGCAGAGCTCACAGCCCCTCGCCGAGGTTACGATCCCCGGGAGCCTCCGACCGGGGGAGACGGCCGCCGCGAGCCGGGCGGCGAGGGGTCCCGGGCCGGCGCCCCCCGCGGTCCCCGCGCCTCGGGAAGAAAGGAGGGAGGGACCCGGGTTCTCCGAGGCGCCTTCCTCGGGGATCCCCTCGTTGGCCGCCGCGCTGCAGCCATTTTCCAAACCCTGGTTTGGCAGCTGGGAGCTGTCTGGGTGCCGTTCCCATCCAGACCCAACCTGAAGGACGAGTTTCGTATTTACCTACTGGCCCCGGAGCTCCGGGGAAGGCAGAGGGAGGGCGCGCCGCGAATCCGGAGCCGGGCCCGGGAAGGAGCACGCCCACCCCCGCGCCACCGCGCGGTGCCACCTAATGAATGAGCGTGGCGGGCGAGAACGGCGAGTCCCCCTTACCTGAGCAGCCCCTGCATGCTGGAAAGGCGGCTCTGGGCTCCGGGTACAATGGGATCCGGTTAAACAGTTTCCTTCGCAGCCGCTCGTAGGTTACCAACTCGCAGGTGACATCACCCTCTCCTCGCCTGATAGGATACAATGCGGCGCCCACTGCGCATGGACTCCCCGGCCCGGCCCACAGACTTCTGGGAGTTGTATGCCCAATCCCACCGGAGAAGGCTCACATAGCCTTGCTACCTGAACTCATGTGAACTACGCTTCCCGACATCACCCTCTTCCTCTCTGTCCCCGCCCTCCGGTCCCGCCCCCGATGGGACCCGCCCTCTTGTCTTGCAGGGCCAGCGGTGGTGGTTCCGAAGCTGGGCTGCGGACAGCACCAGCCAGAGGGAGGGGCGCCCTGCGGTCGTGCCCTCCGACTTGACCTTTATCCCCCGCCAGGAGAGCGGGCTCCTAGGTCTTCGGGGGGGTCCCGGGCTCTAGCGCACTGTCTAGGCATTTCTGCCCAATCCTACTCTCTTGGTCCCAGCTGGAAAGGATCGATTAAGCTTTTCTCTGCCTTGCCTCTGCAAAGCAGCTAATTCATGGCACCCGCAGGACTCACTGGTGTCTGGCTTAAATGCGGTCCTGGTAACCCCCATTCCCCCAAGAGGAGACTTTGTCAGCTGTGAAAAGAATCCTCGTGCTCGGTTCATTTAATCTTTTTTCTTCTTCTTTTCCTTTTCTCCACTTAACGGAGACCCCGTGACCAAGAAGAACGCGGGAAACAGCTTCGTGGGCTGAGCTGTCAGAATAACCAGAAGGTGTCACTAATAAAAAAAAAAATTAATGTGGTGTTATTGGCTAGAGAGACAGTCGCCACAAGGCTAGTCAGAAAGCCTGCTGGCTGCCGCTGCTGCTGCTGCAGAGATAATAGTATCGCGCGGCCATGCTTTTGTTCATCCCTGTAGCTCTCAACTCAGAAGATAGCATGCTTGTCTAAAGTTTTAGTAAATTATGTATATGGGTGTATTCTTAAATCCTCATTTTTCATGCTTTGATCTTTAAAATAAAAATTAACCTTAAAGCAAGCACCGTGCCCTTCAAGGACTCTCGTCATCTTAATACACTGAAATGTTTATTTAAAGGTAAGCAAAAGGTGTGTAACAAAACTCTGAACCTTCACAGAGATTTTGTTTTCTAATGGATGCAAGATTTTTAATCATTATCCTACAAATGTTAGAGATTATTATTCTTTTTAAAATCTAACATTGAAAGCAAATCTCCAGTTGTCATACACACACACACACACAAAACATTGTAAATATGATCATGCTATTTGGTGTGTCAATCAGAAGGTTCAGCTCACACACCCATTTTCACCAGCAAAATCTCTGTAAGAAACCAAGGTTGACATATCCAAACAACTCTCTACCTGATCTTTTGTAGAAATTGTCTCTCTTCTCATGTCATTCTTTTGCAGCACTTAGGTTCAAATGGGGGGAAGGGGAATGTTGAAATAGTTCATCTTTGGGGATGGAAAAAATGGATTTTTTAATTTCTGTTTTGTTTTTCTTTTCTGAGATGTTTTAGTGCTGAATTCTGGTTTTCTTTTAACAAACCTATTCTTTGTAAACCAGACCCATTGTACTTCACTGAAGGAGGATAACTGTGAATGTTACTCTTCCGAATGCTTATGTTTCAAATATTATCTTAAATGGAGAACAGACAATGCAAATGTTCCCTGAGCCATCAGATTAAGGGCACACAGTGATAACTCCAGCTAGTGGGTAGGCTTAATGCGTTGTACAGTTCATTGTGGGAAAATATTCAGAAAGAAACTCAACCTGGGATGATTCTAAAGACTCCCAATTTTATAACTGTGCAAAGCTTTTAGATGGAAATATAGTAAGTGAGCCTGAAATTTATTGCCACAATAAATTGAATCTTGCCTTTCTGTAAGACAGGACTTATCCTTGTAGCTAAAAGTATGGTATTGAGGCACACTTTAAGGAGTATTTTATAGGTGAAATCACCCTACAGCAAGTTCTCTTAGCATTTCGGCAATAAAGAAAAGGGTATGGTTTACCTAAAGAAAAACAAATTTTCATTCTAACGATATTATAATGTATGCCATGTAACAAAACTCCTCATATAAAAAACAGCATACACAATAGACTATAAGCACAGAAATGTGTCAATGTACACATGAGCTGTTTTTTTATATCTAATAAATATAAATATAGATAGTAAAAAGCACCATGTTTCAAAATGGTGTTTTGGGATTTTTATTGCTGTTGCTTTTTCTGTATGTAGTGATGGATTTGAACTGATCCCTGCACCATTTCTTTGGTAACCAAGGGAAACAAGATGGCTCTTTAGCATCAGAAATGCAGACTGCAGACCTGGAACCAGAGGAAGCTTAAATACTTCTATGAAGACAGAAAGGGACTTAGACTCTGTGTGTCTGGGTTTGGGTCACGCTTTCTCTCTCTCTCTCTCTCTCTCTCTCTCTCTCTCTCTCTCTTTCTCACACACAGACACACAGACACACACACAGACACATTCACACACATATGATATCTGTCACACAAAAACTCGTTTAATTTTTTACACACTTGTTGGAAAGCTTGTATTTCATTCCTTTTAGGTAACTGAGTCATCTCAGAAACTATAAAATAAAACACATATGCTGTCTCTGTCTAGCTTAATTTATATTCTCAGTCAAAAGGGTTTCTTTACTGTGTTTTTTTTCTTTTCCTTTTTGAACAACTGCTGCTGTTCTTATAAAAGGCCCTGCCTCATCCAATAATCATGGTCTATTAATTAGAAACCTGTGGGACGGTTGAGAATAGACTCTCTGTATGACTGGAGGGAGAAGCAGAGGCTCCTTAATGAGCACTTTGCTGAGCTTCTCAGAATAATCTCTCTCAGTTCTGATTGTAACGTTTTACTCTAGATATTGAGTTTGATTTATTTTTACTATATAGTTACCTGTTTGTTTACTTTTGAGACAATGCAGTTTTTTAGTCCAGACTGGTCTTAAAATTATTCTTCCTCAACCTCCTGAGTGCTAGAATTACAGGAGTGTGTCACCACACCTGATTGATTGTGGTTTAAGCAAAGGAGAAAATAAGATCAACAGAGAGAATGTTTGTAGCTTTATATATGTTTGCTTAACAGCTTGGTGTTTCTTAATTAAGTATATATGTCAAACCTAGATTTGACATATTATTTTGCCATTCTGGGTTTTGTGTTTATTTGATGATGCTGATAGTGGTAATGATGATGGTGGTGGTGGTGGTGGAGTGTGTGTGTGTGTGTGTGTGTGTGTGTGTGTGTGTGTGTGTGTGCCTGTGTCTGTGTCTGTGTTGGTATTGGGCTTGAACTCAGGGCCTTGCACTCTTGTTCGGCTTTTTTGCTCAAGGCTGGTGCTCTACCATTTGAGCCACACTTCCACTGATGTTTTGTCCTGGCCTGTTGGAGATGAGTTTCTCACATTTATGTGCCCAGTGACTTTGAACCTTGATTGTTAGCTCAAAGCTAGTGCTCTACCACTTGAACCATAATGCCACTTCTGGGTTTTGAGTGGTCAATTGGAGATAAGGTCTCACTGGGATTCTTCTGCCCCAGCTGGCTTTGAACCCATGATCTTCAGATCTCAGCCTCCTGAGTAGCTAGGATTCCAGGTGTGAGCCACTGATGCCTGGCTGTTTTAACCATTTTGAGTCATGCTACATGGCTTAAATGTGTTGCTTATTCTTTTTGAGCCTCAGTTTCCATGTTATAAAATGAGGCCAACAAAAATACTTCACAATGTTTTGAGGACTGTATTAGATGAGGCCTGTAAAAACACTTTTCAGGGACAGGCTGAATAGGATCAAGTAGTTCACATGTGTAAAAATAGAATATGAAAGCTGGTGAAATTCTTTTGGAAAGAATAGAGTGGGATAGAGAAGAGTGATTGATAGGTATGATACATTGTATGTACGTGTAGAAATCTTACACTGGAACACCCCCCCCACCCCCACCATGTAAGACTAATGCTAAAAACAATAACAGCCACAACAACAAAAACACTGTCAACCTGAAAGTAATATAGAAATGCTAGTTTTTGTTATCACTTACAATTTTTCCATAATGATTATGTCAGATATATCAAGCCCAAGCTGAGCCCCAGTAGATTGATCACACCAGTTACTCAGGAGGCTGAAATCTGAGGATAGTGGTTTGGAGCCAGCTTGGGCAGGAAAATCCATGAGATTCTTATCTCCAATAAACTACTCAGAAAAAGTCAGAATTGGTGCTGTGGCTCAAGTGGTAGAGTGCTGGCCTTCAGCAAAAGTGGCTCAGGAACAATGCCCAATGCTCCCTAGGCCCTGAATTCAAGCCCCAGGACCCCTGCCAAAAAAAAAGGAAGAAAAGAAGGAAGGAAGGAAGTAAAAAGAAAGAAAAAGAAAGTAAGAAAGAAAGAAGGAAGGAAGGAAAGAAAAAGAAAGAAAAAAAGAGAAAGGAAGGAAGAAAAAGAGGGGAGGAGGGAGGGAAGGAAGGAAGGAAAGAGAGAAAAGAAAAGAGAGAGAGGAAGGGAGGGAGGGAGGAAGGAAGGAAGGAAGGAAGAAATATCAGGCCTAATTTTGAAATAAGTCAATAAAAACTTGTTGGAAGGGCTGTGTGTGCTGGCACAATCCTTATACTAGATATATTAAGGCAGGGGAAATCACAAGTTAAAGATCAGCCTAAGCTACATAGAAAGTTCATGGCTAGACTTCATAGCAAGACTGTGTCTCTAAAAAGTAAACCTATTTAAGTAAATTCTGTCCTTAATAAGAGACTATTAGGAATTATATCTCATGCATGTATTATCTTGATCTAATTTGTAAATGCTTAGAATGATTCCTATTTTCTTGGTGCAACATTTTAAAATTCTCATGACTTTAAGTTCTTTTAGTGACAGAAAATAAAAAATTCCTATGGCTTGTTCATGTAAAACAAACAATGTATTTAGCAGAATATATTGGAAGGGTTAAACCAACTAAGACTCAGGAAGAACAGGAACCTGACCAGCTCTGGGCCCCAAAGCAATAGTAATTTTAAGAATTGTCTAGTAGCCATTAGTTTCTGTTGCCTTTT